CCAAGTGCATAAGATGAAAAATCAATCAAAATCTAGTTGCTTGAAATTGCCATGGAAACCCAACAAATCGTCATTTGTTAATTTCGTTGGTCTCAGATCTTCATTTACTCTGGCGCTGAACACCTTCGTTAAGTGATCTTCGTGATCCATAATTAACTTTTTTGTTCCCTCTAAATTCCAGGTACTTAATTAATTAAACATCAATATTTTATGTTATTTTACCATTGATTTCAGCAAAGCTTTGACCGTTTCCATTAAATTCTTTGGGAAGTTGATCCACATCGTAATATTTGTGCAAACTATCGAAATTATCATGAAAGATCATCTAAAAAAGTATTATAGTAAATTAAATTATTTTTATTTAAAATTTTACCCTTTCTCGTAGTTTCGGCTTTAAAAACATTTTAATCAAATTGATGAATGATAGGGCATGTGATGGCAAATTCACGTGGTGTAAGGTGGCAATACGATTCGAGTAAACTTTCTATAATAAAATAAACAGCTTAAATACTGAAGTTTTTGCTATATTAAAGGTGTTTATTACTTCCATAAGAGTGAAGTACTGTTTGAGTTTTGTCGGAGTGTATTTTCCAATAGCAGAGAGCGGAAAATACGACAAATCGAAAATGTACTCTTCCGCATTACTAAAGTCCAAAATAGTTTCAAGCTCGTATAAGATGCAGCAAATGCTGAAAATTAAAGAAACATCCAGATCTTCCGCATCTTTCAAACGCCAGATGATGACGCGGTTCAAGTTTTTGGATAATTTCGGTAAAAATCCCCAATTTCTAAATATGTGAAGTTTTATTGAATGAAATCTGTAGTTGTTATAAACTTACGCGAATTTCAGAGCTCTTTGAATGTCTGGATGCGATGCAGGTTTATTGAAAAAGTCAGGTATTAAACCTTTGATAGTGTAATTCGCGTCCAACTTCACTTTAGTGTTTTCTATGGAAAATTTGTTCATTAACAGGAAATAAGCAATTTGCCTATCGCTAGGCTCCAAAGGGATGTGAGGCTGCGTCTTCAACCAATCCTTGATGATCTTGACATAATCGAAAAGCTGATCCACTTTTATTCCATGACTATTCAAAATCCTTTGTATCTCATCCTCGGTGTAGAACATGAGAGGCGATTTGTACACTAGCACTATTTCAATAATTAGTAAATTCACTTAACAATAATCGATTTAAGAATAGTTTAACAAAATTCAATTATTTCTAAAAGAGAAATACTGAAAATAACGATTTCTCAATGAAATTTTTAAATTATTTTAGTAAATTGAGTAAAAAATCAAATAATACTTACAATCCATCTTATGGTGATAAAAATAAAATTGCAAATGATTTGAAACGTTGCAAACTATTCAACTTTATACGTTTCTATTTCTATTTAATCTCTCTCTATATCAAATGTTTGCCAGAAATCAAATAAATTATTTTTATAAGTTGTTGGACACGTGCACTATGTAATTGCTATTTTCAAATGAAACCTTGATTTATTTAGAAAAATATTTTTATTATGAATTCTAATTGTTGAACTTGTGTACTTTCATAAAATATTTAAATTTATGCCTAAAAACCACAGTTTGTGAAATCCAATTCAGAAAAAAAAAATTATATAAATTAATCGAAAATTTATGAAAATTCAATAGGAGACTAACAAATCCAATCGCAATACAAATTTGTTTCAAAAACTTAGTAATTTGGTGGTAAAAAGTATTGACTTCTTGTTATTATCTGCAATTTGTTGTATTATTAATGAAACTTTAATGACTTTTCAATTTCGTTCAAACTTCTTTAAAATAAATTAAGAAATTAAACTTTAATCATTATAAATAAAACGCAGATTTAAAGGAATCATTGAATTTCAATAAGAAAAAAGAGGTAGTACTAATAATTACATTTAATTGATACAAACAAAAAATAATTGGAATATTGTAAATCATTTTATTTATATATTAAAACATAATGACCAAATTAATCTTCGTTTATTTTTAACACTGTTTGACCCAAGTGCATAAGATGAAAAATCAATCAAAATCTAGTTGCTTGAAATTGCCATGGAAACCCAAAAAATCGTCATTTGTTAATTTCGTTGGTCTCAGCTCTTCATTTACTCTGGCGCTGAACACCTTCGTTAAGTGATCTTCGTGATCCATAATTAACTTTTTTGTTCCCTCTAAATTCCAGGTACTTAATTAATTAAACATCAATATTTTATGTTATTTTACCATTGATTTCAGCAAAGCTTTGACCGTTTCCATTAAATTCTTTGGGAAGTTGATCCACATCGTAATATTTGTGCAAACTATCGAAATTATCATGAAAGATCATCTAAAAAAGTATTATAGTAAATTAAATTATTTTTATTTAAAATTTTACCCTTTCTCGTAGTTTCGGCTTTAAAAACATTTTAATCAAATTGATGAATGATAGGGCATGTGATGGCAAATTCACGTGGTGTAAGGTGGCAATACGATTCGAGTAAACTTTCTATAATAAAATAAACAGCTTAAATACTGAAGTTTTTGCTATATTAAAGGTGTTTATTACTTCCATAAGAGTGAAGTACTGTTTGAGTTTTGTCGGAGTGTATTTTCCAATAGCAGAGAGCGGAAAATACGACAAATCGAAAATGTACTCTTCCGCATTACTAAAGTCCAAAATAGTTTCAAGCTCGTATAAGATGCAGCAAATGCTGAAAATTAAAGAAACATCCAGATCTTCCGCATCTTTCAAACGCCAGATGATGACGCGGTTCAAATTTTTGGATAATTTCGGTAAAAATCCCCAATTTCTAAATACGAGAAGTTTTATTGAATGAAACCTGAAGTTGTTATGAACTTACGCAAATTTCAGAGCTCTTTGAATGTCCGGATGCGATGCAGGTTTATTGAAAAAGTCAGGTATTAAACCTTTGATAGTGTAATTCGCGTCCAACTTCACTTTAGTGTTTTCTATGGAAAATTTGTTCATTAACAGGAAATAAGCAATTTGCCTATCCATAGGCTCTAATGGGATGTGAGGCTGCGTCTTCAACCAATCCTTGATGATCTTGACATAATCGAAAAGCTGATCCACTTTTATTCCATGACCATTCAAAATCCTTTGTACCTCATCCTCGGTGTAGAACATGAGAGGCGATTTGTACACTAGCACTATTTCAATAATTCGTTAATTCAGTTAACAATAGTCGATTTAAGAATAGTTTAGAGAAAGTGAATTATTTGTAAAAGAGAAATATTGAAAATAACGATTTCTCAATGAAATATTTAAATTATTTTAGTAAATTGAGTAAAAATCAAATAATACTTACTATCCATCTTATGGTAGTACAAATAAAACTGCAAATGATATGAAACGTTACAAACTATTTAACTTTATACGTTTCTTTTTCTATTTACCATCTCTCTATATTAACACGTTTATAATTGCTATGTAAATTTTCAAAAAAAAATCTTGATTTATTCAGAAAATTAATTTTGTTATGAATTCTAATTGTTGAACTCCTGTACTCGTGTAAATTCCATACGTGACTAACAAATCGAATCACAATTGAAATTTATTTTGTTAAACTTAATAATTTGAAGTGAAACCAAATCGACTTGCTGTTTTCTTTTGCAATTTTTTTAGGTTATCAGTGAAACCTTAATGAGTTTTCAATTTCGTTTAAACTTGTTAAAATTAAATTAAAAAAATAGACTTTATTTATTATAATTAAAACACAGAACGAAAGGAATCATTGAAATTGTATAAGAAAAGAAAATGTACAAACAAACAAAAATTGGAATTGCATAAGATGAAAAATCAATCAAAATCTAGTTGCTTGAAATTGCCATGGAAACCCAACAAATCGTCATTTGTTAATTTCGTTGATCTCAGATCTTCATTTACTCTGGCGCTGAAAGCCTTCGTTAAGTGATCTTCGTGATCCATAATTAACTTCTTTGTTCCCTCTAAATTCCAGGTAGTTAATTAATTAAACATCAATATTTTATGTTATTTTACCATTGATTTCAGCAAAGCTTTGACCGTTTCCATTAAATTCTTTGGGAAGTTGATCCACATCGTAATATTCGTGCAAACTATCGAAATTATCATGAAAGATCATCTAAAAAAATATTATAGTAAATCAAATTATTTTTATTTAATATTATTAAAATTTTACCCTTTCTCGTAGTTTCGGCTTTAAAAACATTTTAATCAAATTGATTAATGATAGGGCATGTGATGGTAAATTTACAAAGTGTAAAGTGGCAATGCGATTCGAGTAAACTTTCTATAATAGAAAAACAGCTTAAATACTGAACTTTTTGGTACGTTTCAGGTGTTTCTTACTTCCAAAACAGTGAAGAACCGTTTGACTATCGTTGGAGTGTATTTTCCGACAGCCGAGAGCGGAAAATATGACATATCGAAAATGTACTCTTCCGCATTACTAAAGTCCAAAATAGTTTTAAGCTCGTATAAGATGCAGTAAATGGTGAAAATCAGAGGAACGTCCAGATCTTCCGCATCTTTCAAACGCCAGATGATGATACGGTTCAAGTTTTTAGATAATTTCGGTAAAAATCCAATATTTCTAAATATGTGAAGTTTTATTGAATGAAATCTATAGTTGTTATAAACTTACACGAATTTCAGAGCTCTTTGAATGTCCGGATGCGATGCAGGTTTATTGAAAAAGTCAGGTATTAAACCTTTGATAGTGTAATTCGCGTCCAACTTCACTTTAGTGTTTTCTATGGAAAATTTGTTCATTAACAGGAAATAAGCAATTTGCCTATCGCTAGGCTCCAAAGGGATGTGAGGCTGCGTTTTCAACCAATCCTTGATGATCTTGACATAATCAAAAAGCTGATCGACTTTCATTCCATGACCATTCAAAATCCGTTGTATCTCATCCTCGGTGTAGAATATGAGATGCGATTTGTACACTAGCTCTATAATTGGTTTAAGAAAAATCAACGTTAGTTATTATTTAGTTTAACTAAATTGATATATTTTTAAAAGAGAAATACTGAAAACAATGATTTCTCAATGAAATATTTAAATTATTTTAGTAAATTGAGTAAAAATCAAATAATACTTACTATCCATTTTATGGCGATACAAATAAAACTACAAATGATAAAATACATGGCAAACTATTTATACGTTCCTTTTTCTATTTACCATCTCTCTATATGAACACGTATATCAGAAATTAATTATAAGACATGTGCACTTTCTAATTGCTATGCAAATTTAAAAAAAAAATCTTGATTTATTCAAAAAAATAATTTTGTTATGAATTATAATTGTTGAACTATTGTACTCGTGTAAATTCCATAGGTGACTAACAAGTCAAATCACAATTCAAATTTGTTTTAAAAAACTAGTATTTTGTTTCAAAACTTAATAATTTGAAGTGAAACCAAATCGACTTGCTGTTTTTTTTTGCAATTTTTTTAGGTTATCAGTGAAACCTTAATGAGTTTTCAATTTCGTTCAAACTTGATTAAATTAAATTAAAAAATTAGACTACAATTATTATAATTAAAACATAGAATGAAAGGAGTCATTGAAATTGAATACGAAAAGAAAATGTACAAACAAAGAAGAATTGGAATTGCATAAGATAAGAATTATCAATCAAAATCTAGTTGCTTGAAATTGCCATAGAAACCCAACAAATCGTCATTTGTTAATTTCGTTGGTCTCAGATCTTCATTTACTCTGGCGCTGAACACCTTCGTTAAGTGATCTTCGTGATCCATAATTATCTTCTTCGTTTGCTCTAAAATAAAAGTAATTAACCATAAAATGATCAATAATTTTTGTTTCTAAAAAAAATGTGCCATTTTACCATGAATTTCAGCAAGGCTTTTACCATTTCCATTAAACTCCTTGGGAAGTTGATCCACATCGAAATAATCATGCAAAGTATCATAATCATCATGAAAGATCATCTATAAAAAATTGTAATTAAATTAATTCAAGTTAATTTTCTTAATATTATTAAATTTTTACCCTTTCTCGCATTTTCGGCTTCATAAATCGTTTCATCAAATTGATTAGCGATTGAGCATATGATGGCAACTTGACGAAGTGAAAAGCACTAATCCGATTAGAGTAAACTTTCTGCAGTAAAACATTGTGAAAAAAACGGTACTAAAACCCATAATTTCTTACTTCTATAATAGTCATCATTCTTTTGATATGCATCGGATTGAATTTTCCAACCAGGGAAAGCGGAAAATACGACATATCACAAATGGTTTCTTCTGAATTATTAAAATCCAATATAGTTTTAAGTTCATACATGAAGCAGTAGGTAGAGAACAGAAGAGAAACATCGAGGTCTTCTGCGTTGGCCAAACGCCAGACAAAGACGCGATTCAGGTTTTGCGTTAATTTCGGCAACGCACCCCAATATCTAAATTTGAGAAAATTTACTATTATCAATTGGTTGATGAAATTTAACGATTGAAGTCTTACGCGAATTTCAGAGCTCGTTGAATGTCTGGATGAGATGGAGGTTTATTGTAATAATCCGGCATTAATCCTTTAATAGTGTAATTCATATCCAGCTTCACTTTGGTGTTTTCTATAGACAATTTATTATATAACAGGAAATATGCAATTTGCCTATCGCTCGGTTCCAATGGGATGTGCGGCTGCGTCTTCAACCAATCCTTAATGATCTTAACGTAATCAAAAAGCTGATCTAAGTTAATTCCATGATTATTTACAATCCTTTGTATATCATCTTCAGTGTAGAACATGAACGGCGTTTTGTACACTAGCACTATTTAAATAATAAGTTAATTAAGTTTTCCAACAATAATAAATGTAATTTAGCTTAATTTTGCTCAGCATAGTTTCTTGCTTCTTCTTTGTTATTTAGTTAAACAATAACGCAAATTTTAGTAAATTGAATAAAACTAATACTTACGATCCATCTTGTGTTGCCAATAATTCAACTAATAACATAAAACGTTGCAAACCATTCACATTTATACGTTCCCTATATTTGCTTGTGTTTTTTCTCTAGGTCAACCAGTTTAACAAAAAAAATCGGTAATTTATTTTTAAACTATAATTATTGTAATTACAAATTTGAAGTGTTCAAATTATCTCACAATTTATTTATAAAATATATTTATCGATTCGAACTATGAAAACTTTCTTAATAATTGCTTAAAAAAAAACTGATTATAATGTTGAAAATAATCTGTTATATATTATTTTTTTTCAGTTTTGTACAAAAATCAGCACTTTTGCAGTTTTCATATTTTGTTGTATTATGAATCATTGTTTAAGGAATTTGACCATTAAATAATAAAATATGAAAATGGAAAAAAAAATCACAAAAATTTTAAAGTAAAATATATTTATTAGAATGTTACATTTATAGATTGAAACTGTTTGACTTAAGTAAATCAATCAATCAAAATCTAATTGTTTGAAATTGCCATGGAAACCCAACAAATCGTCATTTGTTAATTTCGTTGGTCTCAAATCTTCGTTGACTCTGGCGCTAAACACTTTCGTTAAGTAATCTACGTGATCCATAATCAACTTCTTCGTCCCCTCTAAAATCAAATTAATCATAGAAATTGATGAATACTTTTTTCCATTCAATAATGTTATTTTACCATGAATTTCAGCGAAGCTTTGTCCATTTCCATTAAACTCCTTGGGAAGTTGATCCACATCGATATGTTCGAGCAAACTATCAAAAGTATCATGAAATATCATCTAAAAAAAAATATTTACGTACATTGAAATATTTTCTTAATATTATTAAAATTTTACTCTTTCTCGAATTTTCGGCTTCAAGAACATCTTCACCAACTTGATCAACGATTGAGCGTGTGTCGGTAACTTGACGAAGTGAAAGGCGGCAATGCGGTTCGAGTAAACTTTCTACAACAAATATCTGAAAAAATGAGAACTTTTTTGGTAAGTTACGGATATTTCTTACTTCCAGGATAGTCAAGATTCGTTTGACATCCATCGGATTGAATTTCGCAACCACTGAGAGCGGAAAATAAGACATATCGAAAACGATTTCATCCGATTTATTGAAATCCAAGATAGTCTTAAGCTCGAATAGGAAGCAGTAACTGGAGAAGAGAAGAGTAACATCGAGGTCTTCGGCGTTTACCAAACGCCAGACGAGGACGCGATTCAGTTTTTTAGTTAAGTTCGGTAAAAGACCCCAATGTCTAAATTTTGATAAAAAAAAATAAGTAAATAGTAATTAGTTTAAGTTGATGAAATCTTACGCGAATTTCAGAGTTCTCTGAATGTCTGGATGCGACGGTGGTTTATTGTAATAATCCGGTATTAAACCCTTGATTGTGTAATTCATGTCCAATTTCAATTTGGTGTTTTCTATAGAAAATTTGTTCATTAATAAGAAATAAGCAATTTGCCTGTCGCTCGGCTCCAAAGGGATGTGAGGCTGCGTCTTCAACCAATCCTTAATGATCTTGATATAATCAAAAAGCTGCTCCACTTTAATTCCATGAGAATCCAGAATTCCTTTTATCTCATCCTCTGTGTAAAACACCATAGGAGATTTATACTGCAAAACTATTTAAAACATTACTATACTCTTAATTCTGGTCTTCTAATAAACCTCAATAGTTTAATACGAACAGAAATAATTTTATATTCATCTTACATAAATTATGTAAGGAAAATAAGTAAAATAATAATAATAGAACGAACTTACGATCCATCTTATTGTGGTATAATTCAAACACTAAACAACACTAAACGTTTAAAACTATGGAACTTTATACATTCACTCACGTATAGGAGAGCGGTTTTCAAACTGTGGGGTGGGGCTGTATAAGAACAAGACAAGGCACAAGACATATTTTTATATTAATTTAATATATAATTATAAACAAAAGCATTAACCATTTGAGTCCCATTAACCATTAGACCCATACACAATTTGTGGACGAGCGTCGGATATAGTCGCCGTATTCTATACAAAAGAAACTACCTTTATATAATATTGTATACAAGTCCACTGTGGTGGCGCACTCATCAAAACTTAGTTCAAAGCAAAGCGCCACTAGTCTTTTCAGACTTCAGCTATGACGTTACTTCTGTAGAGGCGCCACTTGTGTTACATAAATATGCCATAACATTATAAATATCTGCCTGATTTGAAGTACGCAGTCTGTCCAGATTTTGGATTTATAATCAAGATAGTCACTATGAGTTTCCTTTCTTTTTGAAGTTTATTTCTACATTTAGATTTTAAAGCAGCTACAGCAGAAAAACTAATTCCACAAAGTTAAGAATTGGAGAAATGTGACAGTAGCAAAAGCTTTAATAAAAGAATAATTATAAGACAGATCAGTCCAAAAAAATGATAGAAACTTAATAACAAAATTTGATATTTGAAGAAAGATCAATCAATTTAGTTTAAATTCCCGTTTATTGGGTAACTCTCATCTATCTATTTATATTACGTTATGATTTAAGTAAAACAAAAGGGGGACGAAAAATACGAAAGATTGAGAACCGCTGCCAACTAGTTTTGTTTGAAAATTTGATTGTTGTTACTGAAGTTTCTATCTAATCAATGCTTATTGCCATTAATTACCAATTATATAATTATACTTATTATAGGAATAACATTTTAAACGTATATATAAACCTCATTTATTTTAAACGATTTGGTTAGAGTGTGCGTTGAAAACCAAGAAATCCTTGAGATTTTATTTACATGAAAATAATTTGTTCTAGAAAATTTGCTGCGTTAAATGCGAAAATACTTAGATTGAAGTTATCGATTCGCAAGTGAAATTTATTTTGAATTAATCAAGAAATCTCCGAAATTTCTATGGAAATCCATTATATTTTTCAACAATTTCAAATCATGAAAGAAATGGAAATTTCCTTCATTTCTCTTGAAATTTAAACCACTTTTTCTTATAATATCAATTATAATAAATCTACTACGTTCTTTGGTTGCTGCAGATGGGCGACGATGAAGCACGAGGCGGAATCAAATCTCGGAGAAGTGCTGGAACCGGAGACCCTCCTTGGTGAGATGCTGAAGATCCAAGAGAAATGGGACATCATCACAAGCTATGTAGCAGGGGTGCTCTCCATTAAGGAAAATGACGAGGATGGAGAGAGAAATGGAAGAAAGTGATAGTGGACATCTATAGAAGACATGCCAAAACAACGGACCTGCATGCTTATGAAGAAGTGGAGAGGTTTTAGTGCGTTAAGAATCAAACAGTATCACGATTCCACCCGTGATCTCTATGTAAGGTTTCCTCTCCTTTAGAAAAAATAAAATTCTAGTTTCACTGAAAGATTATTGAAAATCAGCAAATCTTCATTTACTCCATTACTAAAGACTTTCATAAAATAGTCATCAATTAAAACAAACAATCTTTTACAAATAGGTAAAACCGAATTTGAAGAAACTAACAGAAATTGAAAATATAAGTATTTTTTTTATAATTTAAAAAAAAAATCGTCTTATTTCAAAAATAATTCGTAGTTTTTTTTTTATGGTTTGAATATGAATAATTTGATTACTAAATTAGACCTGAATTATTGTAAATAAAACAAACAATCAAAACGTTCAATAAAATATAAATATTTATTGCTGCAATAAAAATACACATAAAATTAATCTCCATATTTTGTTGCTTCTCACATTTATACAATTATAAAAATAAAACTATTTGTTACATTTTTGTGTGTGTATTTTGGAGAATAAATTATGAAGATTTTATTGTTATTATTTATTATTAATGATTTGAATAATGGTAGTATTGCCTCATTTGAATATCCTATAAATATTTTCTGTTTTTCGTAAATACGATGTGAATCCTTGAACTTCGAGATTTATTTCAAGGACTCGTTTTTAAATATTTAAATTAAATAATCAAACATCAAATATATTTTAATTATATGTTAAAGTTGACAAATTTTTCTTTTCATTAAACTGTTGTGCGGATGATGCAATCAATCGACTTGCAATTGTCTGAAGTTTCCATGGAAACCCAACACATCATCATTGATTAATTTGCTCGGTCTCAGATCTTCGTTGACTCTGGCATTGAGAACATGTTTCAGATGTTCTTCGTATTGCATCAACAAATTCTTTGATTGCTCTACAAAAAAAAATTGATATATTTCAAGAATTTCAACTCGAATATTTATAATTTTACCGTGAATTTCTTCAAAAGTGCATCCATTTCCACCCAACTCTTTGGGAAGTTGATCCACGTCGAAAAGTTTGTGCAAACTCTCATAATTATCATGGAAAAACACCTTAAAACACAATCTTAATTAATGTATTGAGTTGTTTTATTTCATTAAGATCATTACTCTTTCCCGAATTTTTGGCTTCATAAACATTAAAGCTAATTTTAGTAGAGGTTCAGCATATGACGGCAACTTTACAAAATGAAAAGCGCTTATGCGACTTGAGTAAACTTTCTGCAAAAAAAATATTGTTTTATTTGAATTACTTATATAATTAGATAATTCTTACTTCTATAATGGTAAACATGCGTTTTAGATCCATCGGATTATACTTTTTGACCACCGACAGAGGATAATAGGATAAGTCAAATATGAATTCATCAGCATTGTTGAAGTCTACCAAAGTTTTTAGCTCGCCAGACGATCACGCGATTCATAATGATCCCCCATTACTGAAATTAAAAAAAAAAAAAAGTTGAGACAAATTTAACAAGTTTATTGAATAATCATAAACTCACAATGATTTCAAAGCTTTTTGTATATCCGGATGTGACGGTGTCTTACTATAATAATCCGGCACTAATCCCTTAATAGTGTAATTCATATCCAACTTCACTTTAGTGTTTTCTATAGAAAATGTGTTCATTAATAAAAAATACGCAATTTGCCTATCGCTCGGATCCAAAGGTAAGTGCGGCTGCGTCTTCAACCAAACCTTCATAATCTTAACCTATTCAACAACCTGCTCCACTTTCATTCCGTGAAGCTTAAGAATCTTGTTTACGTCCTCTTCCGTGTAAAACATATTCTGGCTTTTGCATTGCAAAACTTCAACAAATTAAAGAATTAATTATTTAAAAAAAATGCACAATGCAAATTTGTTAAAAAATTAGTAAATTTTATGTATACTTACAACTCATTTCGAATTTTCTTTGTCCAACATTCCTATTTGAAGTCTAAAGTTGAAATAAACACATATTTGCAAAAAAAGCACATTATATATATATATAGATTTTAATAACATTTAATCGTTGAACCTCACTTATCTTGCTCATGAGTTAAAAATCAAATGAGTTCATCTTGATGTAATAAGTAAAATTAATAAAAAATTATTCAGATTAAGTTTGATTTTCATAATATTTGTTTAATTAAAAATTCTTATAATTTAACTATGAATGTTTGTTTATTATTTTTTAGTTAATGTTATAAACTAATCAAATTAATAAGAAAACTACAATAAATTATTCCATTTTGTGATAAAATTGAAGTTTATTTATATTGCATTAAATTTGTTTAGAAGTATTGATACTAATTAAAGAAATTTATTGAATCTAGAGGGTGTGTCAACAAGAGATCAATCAATTGATTGTAATTCGTGTGCAAAGAGAAGAAAAAAAAAGTATCGCTAAAAAACAGTGTTTTCGCATTTTATTGATTTTCTATAGAACTATAATAGATTTGATGGATACAAAAGATGCATATGAAAGCTGGATGTTTGGCGAATATAGGGAGTATTCACAGATTGCTTCCATTTGATTGTAAATGAAAAATGATCAGTCTTAAAAGCACTGTTTTCACATTTTAGTGATTTCTTTGGAACTATAATAGATTGAATGGATACAACAGATGCGTACGAAAGTTGGATGTATGGTGAATGTAGCAAATTGCTGTGATTTTATCCATTTTGCTATAATTCAAAATTGAGAAGATTGGTGGAAAATCGTCCCTTTATTAAATATTGTTTTCTTTGATATCATTGAAAACTAAATTATTGAATTCATCATTATCAATGAAGTTTTGTGGATTTGTAACATTTTAAAGTTAAAACATGATTCGACATTTTTGTTTATACATCAAGGTCAATTACAAAAGCTATCAATCTTATTTATTCTTATTTAACGATCGAATCAGTAAATATGTTTTTCTACATAATAATTTGTTTTAATAATTTCACTTTTTTTTCATTTATTGAAAAATTTTAAAAAAATATATCGCCTATTTTGAAGTTGTTATTTATGTTTTAATTGGAATTTTTCTTGAATTTATATGAAAATACGATAGAAAATTTGAATTTGAATAATTGTTAAATTAATGTTATAATTGAAAAAAACAACATAATTTAAACGTAACAAATTATTAGAAAATTGAAAAATCATAGTTTATACAATTTTCCCTCAGTTATTTATATTTTACAGTAGTCATAGAAATAATGCTGTAAATGAAATTTAAAAAAAAAAATAATAAGTGATGCGAATCAATCGACTTGAAGTTTCTTAAAGTTTCCATGGTAACCCAAGAAATCATCGTTGATGAGTTTGGTCGGTCTCAAAGATTCGTCCACTCTTGCATTATTGGATTCCTTGATGTATTCATCGTATTCCTTAGATAAAACGTTCATATTATCTGCAAATAAAATCAATGTAAATGAAACGAATTGAATTTAATATAATAATTATCGAACCACAAATTTCCGACAACGATATTCCAGTTCCACCGAACTCTTTAGGAATTTGATCCTTCTCGAAAAACTCACCCAAAGTCTCGAGGCTTTTATGGATGCGCACCTGAAAGTTAATCAAAAAAATGATTATAAAAATACACAAAATTTTTGAATTACTCTTTCTCGAATCTTCGGTTTCAAGAACGATATAATCAAATTTATCATAGCTTCAGCATAAGATGGAATATTTACGTAATGAAGGCCAGCAATACGATTCGAGTAAACTTTCTGAAATTGAAGTTAATAAGTTTATATTTGTTTAAAAAAAAAACGAAACTTACTTCAACTAAAGTGAGCACTCGTTTAAAATCCATGGGATTGAATTTCGTGACCATTTTCATCGGAAAATAACTAAAATCGAAGATGTATTCATCGGAATCGCTGAAATCGCAGATTGTTTTCATCTCCAAAAACGAGCAAAAGTAATTGTACCCATCCAACAGGACAACATCTGTACTTTCTAACCGGCACACGTAAACTCTGTTCAATTTCTTATTCAATTTAGGCATAAATCCGCAAGAACTAATAACAGATCATTCATTCATTTGATTGATTTATTTTCAGTATTCTTACACTAAGGAGATCGTTTTTTGGACGTCCGGATGTAACGGTGATTTGCTGAACAATTCCGGCATCAATCCTTTGATAGTGTAATTGGCATCAATTTTTTCTTTCGTTCTTTCAATCGAGAATTTGTTCATTATTAAGAAACAGACGATTTGTCTGTCCGTCGGATGCATGGGTAAATGCGGCTGCATCTTCAGCCATTCCTTTATGATGTTAACATCTTCTGGTAGTTGCTCCAAAGTTTTTCCACGAATCTCCAGAATCTGCTTAAACTCATCATCACTATACGATAGGATAGGAGTTTTACACTTCAAGTCAACTTAAAAAATCAATTAACGAAATCTATATTATTGATAAATTATGTAAAAAATATGAAAATAACATATGGAAACGTTGTTAAAACTAAGTTATATCAAATACTTACGGTCCATTATTTTCTTGATTATAAGTGAAAAACTTATGAAATCAAATATATACTTATTGTCAATATGTACAACTCATATTTTTACTTTCTCGTTTATATACATAAGTAAATAATTAGTGCTCATGCGCTGTTTCTATAATTGTAACAAATTTATTATACATGTTTTTGAAATATGAATGACATAATAATTATAGTGAATTAAATGCATCGATATTTGAACTCGTATAAAAATGCGCATTTCACAAAAAATAAGTTTATTTGATCACAAAACAAAATCCGTTTTAGAGAATTTTCACTCGAAGACTATCAAGAAAGTCACTTAAATGTCTAAATATTTGCAATGTCGCAATGAAAACGTCACTTTTGTTTAAAAAAATCGTCATTATTAATGAAAAATAGATCGTCTACAAAAACATCAATCAAAAATTATAATGATTCAAGCGTAATTGAGAAGCACAAACCAAATCGAAAACTGAATTACTTCAAAATGATCATGCTATCAATTTAGTACAAAGGTACAAAGTTTTATCCAAGGAATCAAACTATCATTTCACGTATTTATTGTCAACAATTAAAAAAACTGTAGGCAGTAATCAAATAAAAATTGCCAGAATTGGCAAATCGTGTTCCACCAAAACAATGCAAATCCTTACACATCTTTGATAACTGGAGTAATGTCGTTGGAGTAATAGTCCTGACCTTGAACCAACAGATTACCATTTATTTCGAAGTTTGCAAAACTCTTTGAATGGTAAAACTTTCACTAATTATAATGACCTGAAATCGCACTTGGTTCAGTGTTTTCTGCTGATAAGGACCAGTGGAATCATGAAATTGCCTGAAAGATGACAAAAGGTCATAGAACAAAATTGAATAAGTTATAATTGAAAAAACTCAATATTTCTTATACAAAAAATAACAGAATCTTTAATTTCAATATCTGAAAAAAATCTTCTACGTGGGGTCTAACAAAAGTTGGCTTAGTTGGTGTTAATACATTTGTTTCAAAAAAAAAACAAAAGGTGTTTCTCAATTTTAAAGTCTAACGATATTTCATGCCAAATTTCAAGAAGATCGGTAAGAATGGATGGAAGAAAATGCAAGATTAGTGATGTAAGGTTGAAAGAAATTCCACCACCAACACTGCAAAAAATTGTTTTGTCATTCTCTACAGATTTCGACGTCAACTCAAGCCTATGCACATTTTCGAGGAATGCCAAAATGCATATGGAGTGAATGCATCATCACTTATGACCATTTCCAAGTGGTTTTGAAGATTCCAAACCGGGAGTTTTTCTGTTGAGGACGAATCTCGTGATGGTCGCCCGAAATATTTCACCGACGACACAAATGTAGCCTTGGTGAAGGTAAAAATTGACGAAGATCCAAGAATGATATAGGAAATGATAGGTGATGAACTGGGCTTGAATACCATGGCTGTGTCGAGAATATTAAGTCATCACTTGGGCTGCACCAAGAAATCCGCACGATTGGGTCCACGACCAAAAATTTCTTACTCTCCGGATCATTATTGCAGTTAATGTCGAACTTGAGAAGCTCCAAAAAGCCAATTTTGAGGAATTTTTTTGAAAGGTAGCTCTACTAATTTAAGAAATGTATTAAAATAAATGGAAATTATGTTGAGAAATTACAAAAGGATGAAAATTAAATATAATCAATGATTAATAATTTTTTTTACTTTATAATTTTTCATTGCAATTAAAGAAACTACGCAAAATACAACTGTTTTATTTGCAAAAAAAAAATAATTAATTAGAAATATTCAAGAGTCACGATTCATAACGAAATACACTAATTATTTTATATTATATTATATAAAAAATAATTACATTTCTATAAATAAAATATGTTAGTTAAAAATAATGCGAATCAATCGACTTGAAGTTTCTTAAAGTTACCATGGTAACCCAAGAAATCATCGTTTACCAGTTTGGTCGGTCGCAGAGATTCGTCCACTCTGGCGTTAAACATTTTCTTGACGTATTCTTCATTTTCCGAACATAGAGCGCCCATATTGTCTGCAATAAATACAAAAAAAAATATGTTAAATTTAACGAATTGTTAAAAGTTAATATTAAACCTTCGATTTCTGTCAAACTTGGTCCACTTCCACCCCATTCCTTAGGCAGCTGATCTTCATCAAAATACTTACGCAACGACTCGTAACCTTTATGAATATGCAACTGAAAATTAATTTTCAATAAGCAACTTGTTTATAAAATCCGAAAATCATTTACTCTTTCTCGAATCTTCGGTTTAAGAAGTGATTTGACCATATTTATTACAGATTCCGCATAAGCTGGAACGTTTATGTAGTGAATGGAGGCAAGACGATTGGAGTATACTTTCTGTAATCGAAATAGTTAAAGTATGTGTTACAAGGAAATTGACTTAAAGTTACTTCAATAATTGTGAGTATACGTTTAGAATCCATAAGACTAAACTTAGAAATCACGCTTATAGGACAATAAGTAAAATCGTAGAGGAATTCGTCGGAATCGCTGAAATCGCTGATTGATCTGATCTCGTAAAGAATGCACAGAAAACTGAATAAATCTGTTGTGTTGAAATTGTCTGGGTTTATCAAACGACCCACAATCATTCGGTTCAAATTCCTACTCAATTTAGGCATGTAACCGAACGTACTTAAAAAAATAATAATAAATTAATATTTAGTAAAGTGTTTAAGACGTTGCCTATACTCACGCGCTGCTCATGATTTTTTTTATATCCGGATGCGATGGGATTTTACTGTAGAATTCCGGTATTAATGCTTTGATTGTGTAATTGGAATCAAGCTTCTCTTTGGTTCTCTCTATAGAAAACTTGTTCATCACCAAAAAACATACGATTTGTCTGTCTGTCGGATGCAGAGGTAAATGAGGCTGCGTCTTCAACCATTCTTTGATGATCTTAACATCTTCTGGTAGTTGCTCCAAAGTTTTACCACGGATCTTCAGGATACTCTTCAACTCGTCGTCCGTGTAGAATAGTATAGGTGTTTTACATTTCAGGTCGACTGAAGAAAAAATATAATTGCAGAAATTTCAAATTACATTCATAAAAAAGTTGATGAAATAAAATTACATACTAAATGTTCATTATGTTGGCATAAGTGATTAATTTCTAATAATTAAATTAATAATTTGTAAATCCCAATAATTAAATTTTATAGAATTTTTTTATACTTACGCTCCATTCTGTTAACTGTGATAAACTGAACGAGGAATGATCAAATTTGTAAACAAACATCTGCGTTTTAAGTATACCAATGAATGATGCAATAAGCTCTTATATTCAAATGTAAAAGAGAAACTCGCTCATGCGCTCATTTGTATTCTAATTGCATAATACAGCAAATTAACAGTATAATTATTCAAGATTTTATTATAATTTTAATCTGAATGACCACATAAATACACGCAAATTGATAATTGATAAAAGTCCTATATAAACTGAAGAAGGTTTCACTGTTATCAATCCAATTTATTTAAAAAAAAATATGAATTAGATTCATTCTAAGTATATTTAGCTTTATCGTTTAAATAATATAATTAAGGCTTGAGAACACGAAAATAAAATTAATTGGACAAGTTTTGTTATCGTTTAAGTATAATGTCGAATCTATTTTTAGGTAAAGAATTGTTTATTTTCAAAACCATTATCAAATGTATTAAATACTGTCAGTAATAATAATAAATTTCTTTATAATTTAAATATTTCAACAATTCTAATCATAAATTAGGAAATATTAAATTTTCCGAAAGAATAAAGATTTTTTTCTTACTGCTAATTCTTACTATTAATTTTCCTTCTAAATTGAATAAACTGTGGCTGTTACCAAACTGTTACCAAATCAGTTCAGTACTAGTAAAGTTTCTTTATATTTATTTCCATTTAATGAAAAAAAAAAGTGGTTTTCATACGATATTTGTGCAAAGCAAATCGAAACATGAAATAATTGAGGTAATGAAGTAACTTATTAACAAAAATATTTATTTTACTTAATATCGATTTTTTTTATAAAGTTTGAAAAAGTTGAATTTTAAAATGTAAACAATTAATAAATAAAAACAATAATAAACCCAAAACCATTTCTGATATTTGAATCAATCAACTTGAAGTTTCTTAAAGTTACCATGGTAACCCAATACGTCATCATTGATCAATTTGTTTGGTCTCAGAGATTCGTCCACTTTAGCGCTGTAGGTTTCCTTGATGCATCCATCATATTCCAAACATAATTTTCTCATATTTTCTATAGAAACAAAAAAAAACTTACTTTAATTCTTTATTAATTTGAATCACAAACCTCTAAGTTCAGCAAAAGTTTGTCCACTTCCACCCCATTCCTGAGGAATCTGATCATCATCGAAAAACTCACGCAAAGACTCGTAACCGTTATGAACGTGAAACTGAAAATGTTAGTGTAATTATTTTAATTAATACATACAACTTTTGTAATTTACTCTTTCACGAATCTTCGGCTTAAGCAACGATTTGATCAAACTTATTAAGGTATGAGCGTAAGCTGGTAAATTTATGTAATGAATTGCAGCCATACGATTTGAATAAATTTTCTGAAAAAAGATTTGTATTAAATTGAGTTATTATAAAAGAAAAAATATTTTTTCAGGAAATCCTCTAAAACTTACTTCAATAACTGAAAGTAGTCGTTTGATATCCATAGGATTGAACTTTGTAAGCGCGCTCATTGGAAAATAACTAAAATCGTAGATGTACTCATCTGAATTGCTGAAATCGCAGTAAGTCCTGATTTCGAAAAGCATGCACAAATAACTATACGTATTAGTTACGTTTAAATCTTCGGCGTTTTCCAGACGTCCCACGTAAATTCTGTTCAAGTTCTTGTTCAATTTTGGCAATATTCCGTAAGAACTAAATTAATCAAATTATTAATTATTTCTTTTAAAGCTTTACGTAAACCTACTAGACGCCTATGGCCTTCTGAATATCTGGATGAGAAGGCGGTTTTGTAAAGAATTCTGGCATTAATCCTTTCATAGTGTAAATACAATCAATCTTCTCTTTAGTTCTCTCTATAGAAAATTTGTTCATCACCAAAAAACACACGATTTGTCTATCTGTGGGAAGCATAGGTAAATGAGACTGAGTCTTCAACCATTTCTTGATAATATCAACATCTTCTGGTAATTGCTCCAAAGTTTTTCCACGGATTTTCAAGATGTTTTTAAACTCCTCGTCCGTATAGAATAACAAAGGTGTTTTGCACTTCAAATCAACTTAAAAAATAATAATTAATTAAAAACATTTAACAACTGGTTTAATGTTCACATAAATAATAAACAACATTATTAAATTATTAGTAAACTGATAAATGAGTAAAAAAAAGATATAATGACATTGAATATTTAATCAAAAGTAATTTGATAAACCATTGTAGACTTACGTTCCATTATTATTATCTTCAATTTATTTATAAACTATAACAAAATATAACCAATTTTTACCGATATTAACAAATTGTCAATCACTTCACTAGCTTTATACAAATGACCAATTTTAATGCTCTTATATAGACATACTAGCTGAAAAAATAAATGCTCATGCGTCACTCAAATATAATTATGTCGAGATTCACAATATAATAACAACAAAACTATAAATCTTTTTACATCCATTTTTATATCCACATTTATATCTACAGGGTGTCCCAATTGAACTGCAACCAACTTAAAACTGCTATAACTTTCGAACCTTTGGCAATTCTGTGTCCATATTTCGCCTAATGATAGCATATTTTACTGTTTAGAAGCTATCCATTGGTGTTTTCATACTGTGGCGTCAAAGGTTTCTATGTATGTCTACTACGAAAAAGTTTTGGAAGGTGCTCTGAAGCTGTGGACAACTAAACATTTCAGTCAAAAAGAGTGGACGTTTCAAGAAGATTCTGCAACATCACACAAAGCACACGAAAACCAACAATTGCTGAAAGTCAACGTTCCAAACTTCATTTCATTGGCCAGATGCAAATCCGTTCGCCTTCTCAGTATGGGGAATTTTATAGGAAAATTTCAGCACTAAAAAATACTTAGTGTTCAAAAAAGCTTTTCTTCGTGAATGGCGGAAGAATCCGCAGGTTAACATTCGTGCAGCGTGTGACTCTCTTGTCGACCAACTCAGAGCTATAGTTGGCGTTATAGGCGGCCATATTGAAAAATTTAAATGAATTCGAAAAATATAATTGTTTACCAAAATTTTTTGCTTGTGGTTCAATCAAATCCAATTTCAAATAACAAAAATACAGCGTTCTGAAAACTTTCTGTTCAATAGGGTCACACTGTATAATCAATTGACTATTCACAACGTTTTATTTTCAATATTAATAATCAAGTTTTTGTTTTCATTTTCATAACTTGTTTATGTAATAATTATTAAATGGGAATAATTAATTTTAATACAATTTATTAACCAAATATTGAAAACAAAAAAACAATATCAATTCTCGTTGAGTTTATTGGTTAATTTTACTTCAAACTTTTGAATATCTTTATTATTTCGATAAGTATGATCATTTAATTGTAGTTAAATTTTGGCAAAACATATTATTCACATTGTCAATTTTTTGTAGTTAATTTCTTTTTAAATAAATATATATTAAAATTTAAATATATATTTTTTTATGTCCTGTAATGTTTTATTTACAATCTGTTCATCAATGTGAATATTGAGTAAATTTAAGATCTCGGTTGACATTAGGTAAGTAATCTTTTCTCGGTGGATAGTTACCATTATGATGATTTTTTATTTGTCAATTCACTGTGAATCTGCTGCTATCCTTAACACTATCATTGTCCATCAATTTAGTTGAAGATTCATACCGAAGAATTTTTTAAATTAAAATTTATATAAACAAAATACTAATACTTACTATTAATTTTTCTTCTAAATTGAATAAACTGTAGCTGTTACCAAACTGTTACCAAATCAGTTCAGTACTAGTAAAGTTTCTTTATATTTATTTCAATATAATGAAAAAAAAAGTGGTGTATGAAATAACTGACGTAATGAACTTATTAACAAAAATATTTATTTTATTCGATCATTCATTAATAGCGATTTTTTTTTATAAAGTTTGAAAAAGTTGAATTTTCAAGAGAAAACAATTAATAAATGAAAACAACTTAAGAAATAATAAACCCAAAACCATTTCAGCTATTTGAATCAATCAACTTGAAGTTTCTTAAAGTTACCATGGTAACCCAATACGTCATCATTGATCAATTTGTTTGGTCTCAGAGATTCGTCCACTTTAGCGCTGTAGGTTTCCTTGATGCATCCATCATATTCCAAACATAATTTTCGCATATTTTCTATAGAAACAAAAAAACTTACTTTAATTCATTATTGATTTGAATTGCAAACCTCTAAGTTCAGCAAATGTTTGTCCACTTCCACCCCATTCCTGAGGAATCTGATCATCATCGAAAAACTCACGCAAAGACTCGTAACTGTTATGAACGTGAAACTGAAAATGTTAGTGTAATTATTTTAATTGATACACAAAACTTTTGTAATTTACTCTTTCACGAATTTTCGGCTTAAGCAACGATTTGATCAAACTTATTAACGTTTGAGCGTAAGCTGGTAAATTTATGTAATGGATTGCAGCCATACGATTTGAATAAATTTTCTGGAACAAGATTTGCATTAAATAGAGTTATTATAAAAGAAAAAATATGTTTTTAGGAAATTGTCTAAAACTTACTTCAATAACTGAAAGTAGTCGTTTGATATCCATAGGATTGAACTTTGTAAGCGCGCTCATTGGAAAATAACTAAAATCGTAGATGTACTCATCTGAATTGCTGAAATCGCAGTAAGTCCTCATTTCGAAAAGCATGCACAAGTAACTGTACGTATTAGTTACGTTTAAATCTTCGGCGTTTTCCAGACGTCCCACGTAAATTCTGTTCAAGTTCTTGCTCAATTTTGGCAATATTCCGTAAGAACTAAATTAATCAAATTATTTATTATTTCTTTTAAAGCTTTACGTAAACCTACAAGACGCCTATGGCTTTCTGAATATCTGGATGTGAAGGCGGTTTTGTAAAAAAATCTGGTATTAATGCTTTGATTGTGTAATTGCAATCAATCTTCTCTTTGGTTCTCTCTATAGAAAACTTATTCATCACCAGAAAACACACGATTTGTCTATCTGTGGGAAGCAAAGGTAAATGAGGCTGAGTCTTCAACCATTTCTTGATAATATCAACATCTTCTGGTAGTTGCTCCAAAGTTTTACCACGGATTTTCAAGATGCTTTTAAACTCTTCGTCCGTGTACAATAACAAAGGTGTTTTGCACTTCAAATCAACTTAAAAAAAAAACAATTAATTAAAGATTGAATAAAAAAAACAAAGCTATAATTTGTCACAATAGTGTTACTTACGTAATTTAACAACTGGTTTAATGATAATTAATTTGTTAGTAAATTGATATTGAGTGAGAAAAGATATAAAGAAATTGTAAATTTCATGTTTGTAAGTTCAAAAATAGTTAATACAAAAATATCATTTTCTTTCATTCTTTTTTCGATAAACCAATATATACTTACGTTTCATTATTATTTGATTCAATTTATTTACAAAAAATAACCAATTTTTACAGATCTTAACAAATTGTCAAACACTTCACTAGTTTTATACAAATGACCAATTTTAATGCTCTTATATAGAAATTTTAGCTGAATAATTACTCATGCGTCACTTGAATATAAATATGTCTAGATTCACAATGTAATAACAACAAAACTATAAAACTTATTTTTACATCCAATATCCATTACATCCATTTTTCTATCTACATATACAGGGTGGCCCAATTGAACTGCAACCAACTTAAAACTGCTTTAACTTTCGAACCTATAGCAATTCTGTGTCCATATTTCGTCTAATGATAGCTGATTTACAAGTATTTACAATTCTGTTTTTTGGAAATATAATGGTTACTCGTGCATCAAATACTCAAATTCGAACTCAAAGTGAAGCCTCGCAAGTTCCAAAAAAGAGAAAATTTCACCGATGTTAAAAAAAACTAGGCTCGATAGAACGAAGGAGCTGTTGCGCTTGCACGAAATGATCAAACAAAATGACTGAATTTACTTAGAAGATGCAAATCCGTTCGACTTCTCGGTATTAGTATTAGTAGAGTATTAGTGTTCAAGAAAGCCCTTCTTCGTGAATGTAGGAAGATTCCGCAAGTTCACATTCGTGCAGCGTCGACCAACTCAGAGCTATAATTCTCGCTATAGGCGAAAAACTTTAAATGAATTCGAAAAATATAATTGTTTACAAACACTTTTTGTTTGTGTTTCAATCAAATCCAATTTCAAATAAAAATAATACAGCGTTCTGAAAAGTTGCTGTTCAATTGGGCCACACTGTATAGTCGATAATTGACCATACACAGCATTTGTCATTAATAATCAAGTTTTTGTTTCCATTTTTATAACTTGTTTATGTGATAATTATTAAATAGTAATACATAATTTTGATACAATGTATTAACCAAATTAAAATAAAAAACAATATCAATTCTCGTTGAGTTTTTTAGTTAATTTTACTTCAAACTTTTAAATCTTTTATTATTTCTAAAATTATAATCGTTCAATTGTAGTTAAATTTTGATAAACTGTACTATTCACATTGTCATTCTTTCGTTAACTACAATTTCTAATTAGATTAATTAATATTAATTCTTAAATAATTAATGAAAGCTATTAATCACAGCAATGGTAGAAATACAATAGAAAGTAAAAAATAATAATAAAAGAAAAATGTAACATTTTGAATCTATTGTAGTTTTATTATAAATATACTCTTTTTCTTATATAACAAAATTTCTTGTTTTAACTGTAAATTCTGTTAATAAAAAGTTAATGATTCCGCATTAAAAATGATTACTGAATCCCTACTAAAGTGTACTTATTATTCTGTTATTAGCTTCACAAGTATTTCCAACTTCACAATTAAGTGCATTTATTTACCATACATCGCACATAACAATACTAAGACTATTCATATTTGCGCCATAATACAAACAATATTATATCAAAATATAGAAATTTTATTAATTTGAAAAGAAACTGACACTAATTTATGAAAGTTTCAATATTATGAACAACCAAAAATAATAAATTGTATATATTCATCTAATACGAATCAATCGACTAGTAGTTTCTTAAAGTTGCCATGGTAACCCAAGATATCATCGTTGATGAGTTTTCTTGGTCTCAGAGATTCGTCCACTTTGGCATTGAAGATTTTCTTAATATATTCGTCATTTTCCAAACATAATTTCCTCAAATTTTCTAAAAGAATACCAATTATCAATTACAATTATCATTTAATTGAAAAGTTCGTAACGCTTTCAAACCTCTAACTTCCGGTATAGTCGGCCCACTTCCTCCAAATTCTATAGGAAGTCGATCTTCATCAAAAAAACTCAAGCAACGTTTCGTAACCTTTATGAAAATTCACCTGAAAGTTAATTATAACAATAAATAAATTAGTAATTGAAACACGCAAATAATTTACCCTTTTCCAAATCTTCGGTTTCAGCAGTGATTTGATGAGATTTATCAGATTTTTCAGCGCATGTTTATGACTATTGTAGAATTGATTGTGTAATTGGAATCAAGCTTCTCTTTGGTTCTCTATATAGAAAACTTGTTCATCACCAAAAACATACGATTTGTCTGACTGTGGGATGCAGAGGTAAGTGAGGCTGCGTCTTCAACCATTCCTTGATGATCTTTACATCTTCTGGTAGTTGCTCCAAAGTTTTACCACGGACTTTCAAGATACTCGTCATCCGCGTAGAATAGTATAGGTGTTTTACATTTCAGGCCGACTGAAGAAAAAATATAATTGTAGAATTTACAATCATAAAAAAGTCTATAAATTTTATAGCAAATGTTACTACTTACGCTCCATTCTGTGAACTGCAATAAACTGAATGAGGATTCATCGAATTTGTAAACAAACATATGCGTTTCACTTATACGAATGAATGATGCAATAAGTTCTTATATACAAATGAAAAAAAACTCGCTAATTCGCTCATTTGTATTGTAATTGCATAATGCATCAATCGCTATTAACAGAATAATGATTCAAGTTTATTTATAATTTTAATCTTAACTTTCACATAATTGCACGCAAATATTACATTTGCTAATTCAAGAAAATATACTGATTTAATAAAAATATATGAATTATTAAAGAAAATGACAATAATTACGATTTATTTTGTTATCTTTTATAAACAGAAGAAAATACAAATGAAAATTATTATGTTTCATAGTAATTATATGCGAATAATTAATCCAAACTTTGAATATGTTAATTGCAGAAGATAATTTCGCTCACGTGTTCATACGTATTCGAATTATGCAGTAAAATTTGCAAAAAAACAAATCATTAACAACACTTGCAAAGTGTTACTATTATCATCACAATTTATTAGAAAAAAAACATCAATATTTTAATTATATTCAGCTTTTTCGTTTAAATAATTTAATTAAGGATTGAGAAGAAAAAAAAGAAATTACATGCACAAAATTTGTTATTAAACGATAACAAATTATGTAGAAAGTACAAAGTTGAATCTATATTTAGATAAATAATTGATTATTTTCAAAATCATGATGAAATTTGTTTGAGTATAGTTAATAATAATAATTTAAAATTGAAATAATTTAATCATTAGTATTCAATTTTATGAAAGAATAAAAAAAATATTAAAAACAATTGATTTTAGTAAATTGAATAAACTGTAGCTGTTACCAAATTATTAGTAAAGCATTTACGTACAGGTAAAGTTTAGTTATACAAAGAAAAATAAATGTGTTATTCAAATGCTGTTTTTGTAATATTTATGTAAATCAAAACATGAAATAATTGACCAATTTATTATACATGTTTTATATTTAAGGAAAATATGTTTTTTTAAGTGCAATCAATACTCGTTTACAGAAAAACATTTTCTAGAATGATTTTAGTATTCACTATCATTTTAAAATAGATAATAAAAACTTAAATTTCGTGAAAATCATAGTAATCGAAAAATATTCCAAAAGTTTCTTGTTTCGATTGTAAATTATGTTCATAAAAAATGAATGATTGTCTAGCATTAAAAATGATTACTTTCTGTAGAATCCCTAAAGTGTAGTTATTATACTTTTATTACGTTCCCAAGAATTTCCAACTTCCCTCTTAGGTGCATTTATTTATGATATATCGCACATAACACAACATATTTGTACCATTAAAAAAAAACAATATTATCTCAAAATATACAATTTTAAATTAATTTGAAATGAAACTGAAATCGAATACGAATCAATCGACTTGCAGTTTCTTAAAGTTGCCATGGTAACCCAATATATCATCATTGACGAGTTTGCTTGGTCTCAGAGATTCGTTCACTTTGGCATTAAAAATTTTCTTGATATACTCATCATGTTCCAAACATAATTTCCTCATATTTTCTAAAAAAAAAATACCAGCAATTATCATTTAATTGGAAAGTTCGTAACGATTTCAAAACCTCTAACTTCCGGTATAGTCGGCCCACTTCCTCCGAATTCTTTAGGAAGTCGATCTTCATCAAAAAACTCAAGCAACGATTTGTAACCTTTGTGGAAATTCACCTGAAAGTTAATTATAACAATAAATAAATTAGAAATTGAAACACGCAAATCATTTACCCTTTCCCGAATCTTCGGTTTCAGCATTGATTTGATCAAATTTATCAGATTTTCAGCGTAACCTGGCATGTTTATGAAATGAATACCGGCCATTCGGTTGGAATTAACTTTCTGTAATTAGATAGAGTTTTATAAGATTATTTGTTCCATTCTGCAAAGAAAACTTGCTTCAATAACGGTGACCACTCGTTTCATGTCCATAGGATTGACTTTAGTGAGCATGCTTAATGGATAATAACTTAAATCGAAGATGTATTCGTCCGAATTGCTGAAATCCAAGATTGTCCTAATCTCAAAAAGCGTGCATAGATAAGTATACGAATCCGTCAGGATTACATCATCCGCATTTTCTAAACGACACACGTAAATTCTGTTGAATTTCTTCGTCAATTTAGGCATTAATCCGTAAGTACTAAAACGAAGATGAAATAAATATTAGTTATTAAAGTTTCACGTAAACTCACAAATGGCTCATGGTTTTCTGGATATCCGGATGAGACGGTGGTTTAGTGTAGAATTCCGGCATTAATCCTTTAATCGTGTAATTCATATCAATTTTCTCTTTAGTTTTCTCTATAAAAAATTTGTTCATCACCAGGAAACACACGATTTGCCTGTCGCTGGGATGCAGAGGTAAGTGAGGCTGCAACTTCAACCATTCCTTGATGATCTTAACATCTTCTGATACTTGATCCAAAGTTTTACCACGGATCTTCAGTATACTATTCAGCTCTTCGTCCGTGTAGAAAAGCATAGGTGTTTTACATTTTAGATCAACTAAAGACAAACAAACATAAACACACATCTTAATAACAAAATCCAATTTTATTAAATTTTACACAAAATTTGACTACTTACGATCCATTTCGTCAATTTCTCTAAACTGTATTTATCAAACTTTGTATTGATGTTTACGTCTCAAGTTTTCATAATGAAATTGTATGCAAATGCAATAAGTTCTTATATACAAATGCAAAAGAGAATCTCACTCATGCGCTCGTCACTATTCGATTTGCAAATTGCATGAATTGAACATAAACATGATAATTATACAAGTTTATTTATAATTTCAGTCTGATAAAGTCATAAGATTTTTTTTTACATATAATAATTAAAATAATTGAAAACAATGAAAATATTGTTTCTTTTTTCGCACAAAAAAAAGATTTTTACATTAAAAAGTCAATGTGCAAATGAGTCTAAAAGTGATACAATATGAAGTATGCATTAAATCAAATTTTAACTTTAACTTTAATTTTAACGAATGGTTAAGTCGCCCTACCCACGATTTCGTGGGCGCTGGTTCGAATCCTGGTCAAGCCAGGCCCTTTGTGAGCCCTCTCAATGCTTGCAGCAATAGGGCCATCGTTCATCACAGATGGACAGTCAAATGAATGAGGTTCAGCATGTAGACCTTCAGGAAAGTCGATGGACAATGACAGTGTTAAGGATAGCAGCAGATTCACAGTCAAAGGAAATAGTGACAACATCCAACCAACAAATTAAAATAATCAAATTATCATAATGGTAACTAACCACCAGGAAAGATTATCCATTATATGAACAGATTGTGAATAAAATTATAGGACATAAAAATAAATTAACTTTTATATAATGTAATAGAGACATTAGAACTCAAATTTAATTGTAATTAATCATTTTTGTATCGTTTTGAACAAAGTCGAGTCTATTTTTATAGCAATGATTTATATGTTTATGATGGCAGTAATTGCATTGAATGTACTGAATATGGGTAATAATAAATTGATCAAACATTGAGGCAATTAATGCGAAAATATGACTTAGTTATTGTGAAACATTGAACAAATTGTTCAATATGAAAAATAAACAATCAATTATATTGAATATTTTTTATTTCCAATTGGAAAGAATTTAAAAAGTTAAATATTTTATATTTACAAATTAATTATAATAAATAATTAAAACTTCGAAAATTATTGGTTTTTATAGAGTGACAAATTCAACATTTATTATGAAAAATTATAAGGAATCTAAACTTTACTTTTGTAGTGAAATTTTCAAAGCATATTATAGAAAATCCGCACTAATCGAAACCGCACTATGGGATATATTGCTGCACATACGAAACATATAGAATAGAGTTAACATTATACATTTATTAGAAACAATAATAATCTTTCAAATTTTAAACTTAAATATTTTTTTTTTTTGTATAAATACAAATCTAATCTACTTGCAGTTTCCTGAAATTGCCATGGAAACCAAGAATATCGTCGTTGCAGAGTTTGGCCGGTCGCAGAACCTCGTTAACTCTGGCAGATTGAACTTTCTTCAAATACTCTTGATTATCCAACAAAAGTTGCTTAAAATCCTCTGAAAAAAAGATCAATAATAATCAAATATAGCACTAACATAAAGAAAGAAAAAAATGAATTTACCTTTAAGCTCAGCCAACGATTTAGAATCACCACCCAAATCTTTAGGCAAAATATCCTTGGAGTAATAATCTAGCAAACTTTCGTTGTTCTTGTGTAAAACAATCTAAAAGAAAAATAATTACTTAATAGATATATCAATGATTTATTTATTTACTCTATCACGGATTTTCGGCTTCAAAGTGACTTTAACCAAGTTAATCAAAGTCATCGCATAAGAAGGTATATTCACGTAATGGATGGCAGCAATTCTATTCGAGTAGACTTTCTGCGGAATCAAGATTAAAATTAATATCAATACTAAAAATTTTCAATTTTAAATTTACACCTCTAAAATGGTGAGCATTTTCTTAATATCCATCGGTCCAATCTTGGAAACCAGTGACAAAGACAAATTGCTCATATCGCACATGTACTCATCGGAATTGCTGAAATCCAAGATACTCTTCAGCTCCAAAAGCTGCAGCAAAGTAGAGAACAAAGTGTTCACGTTAAAATCCTCCGGTATATCAGGTTTCCAAATGACAACCCTGTTCAGATTCTTGTTGAGCTTCGGAAGATACACCAAAGTGCTGGGGAAAAAAACAACAATAACATTCCATTCAAAATATGTGGTAGAAAATCCCTTTGATGCACTTACTTGCAATTGACATCTTTCAGGAAATCAGTATGAGAAACGGGAAACTTGTAGAACTCCGGTATCAAAGATTTTATGGAATAGTTTAGTTCCAGTTTTTCTTTAGTCTTTTCGATCGAAAATTTGTTCATCACCAGGAAGGATATTATCTGACGATCAGCTAAAATAAACCATATCATATTAAATTCACCAAAACGCAATTAGTTTATGTTTCTAATTAGCTTCTAGTAGAATTTCTTCAATATATATTTTTTCTGAAGAAAATAAGGTAAATGATGTTTGTAATTAAGAAAAAATGCTCGAAAAATCAGTGTTTTTACATTTCATTGATTTATTCGAAAACTAGAATGAATCCAAAAGATGCATATGAAAGCTGAATGTTTGGGGCATGTAGCAAGTATCGATATATTTTAGCCGTTTGGCTGTATTTCGTGTTCAAAATTT